TTATTTCTTCTATGTTATGTGATTATAATTTCACTGTACCACTGTAACCATAGTATCATATTGTCTGTCACATTTAAAAGAAAATTCCTGATACCATAGATCTGCAATCTGTTTCTTTGTTTCATTAAATAAAAATAAGTGATTGAATGATGTTTCCTGGACAGTTTGAGCACATGTTAACATTTTTTCTCAAGCGTTCTCTTGTATAAACTGATATATTGTTCAGTGCTGTTTGTGACCTTGGCTTGGAGGCATTAAGTGCTAACTTACTGGAATCTGTAATAGTCTGTATTTTGGAGAGAAAGGCCAGATTTTAACTCAGAATAAAATTACAGTGATAGTTTTTAGCAGCTGTGGTTTGGACCCTTTTTATTGTCTTTAAGTATTCTTATTTTTCTTTGTATAATTTTGCTATCCCAACTGTATGCCTTTTTTCTCTCCTTTCATCAACTCTAATATGACTGTTGATAGGCTTGCTCTGAACTTCCTCATAATTCTCTAACCCATTTCTAGTTTTGGGTTTTTTTTAATTACATCTATCCCTGCAGTGGTTTGTTTCAGATCTTATTTCAAAACATGGTGTTAATAATTAATTTCTTGGATATGCTTTTTCCATTATTCCTCCTTTACTGAATTAAAGTTTCACTTATTTTTCCATTTGGGACTTATTTTAGGCTCTGATTATTTGCCATGCCATTTTGCCGAAGGGAAGCAAGTCATTGCAATTTCTTTGTAGCTGGCTGAAATCCTTGTAAAATAGCTGTACAATATTTATGGTAAACCCTATTGAAATATATTACCTATACAGAACATTCATTATGACTAGATATTAAACCCAGATAAAATTTATTTTTTATCCATTTATAAAAACATTTGAAAAACTGGAACAAAATTGAATTATTGATGTCTGATGTTATAGCAACTGTGCGTAATTTGTCTTAGAATAATTGTGTATTCTGCAGTAGCTTGTTAAAACTTAAGAGTTGTATTGCTTAGTAATATGAGGCACATGCTATTAGTCATGGTACCCTAATTGGCTTTATGTACTTCATGAATTTCTAAAGGTTAGAAAAATAACAACTAAGCGGGTGGCTCTATTTTGTGTGCTCTCTTTGAGCTATTTGGAAAATAAATCTGGCAGTGGCAACAGAGGGGGTCAGTAGATGTGTAGTGAATCTTTCCCTAACAAATGAGTGGGAAGGATTTGGTTTTCTGACTGAAAGCCATCCAGTGAGTCAGTGTTCCGGCTAGGTGAGAGGGCTTAACTGATCTCTCCCAAGAAAGACCTTAAAACTAGCAATTAGAGCTTCTTAGGTATCTTCCATAAAGCCTTTTAGATGTGAGCAAGGTCAGAGATCTGCAGTATCAGGTAAGAGGGATAGGCAGTCTTACAAACCCTGAACATGGTGAGGTTGCTTTGCTGTAGGGAGGTGTTCTCCATGTGCTTTTATGGTGCATAATGCTTGAAATTCTTTTAATTGCTTTTGTTTCTGATAAGATGCAGGTCATAAAGGGTGACAATGCTTTGGGGTCTTGATGGGAGATGGGTTGACATATATAGTTCAGCATTTCTCAACCCGTGTGTGGCAACCCAAAAATGGGTTGCAAGAATATATGAAAGGGTCACAAACAGACTTTAAAAATGGACCAACAAACTTTTAAAAATGGATTCTCCTTTAAAGGAGAAAAACTTGGCTTTTCCCTTGCAGGCTGTCAGTGCCAGCCTGCAAGGGGCTGCTTGGGCCTCCCCACCGACCCCACTTCACCAACTGGGGGCTGGGGCCTGGGGGCAGCAGTTTGTGAGTGTGGGACACCGGGTCAGGACTGGCCATCAATGCTTACAAATGGGTCCTGCTACAGAAAAGGTTAAGAAGGTTACTATGTTGCTAGTTCACATAGTTTACTAGCAATAGAGTAAATATTATGCCCTCAAACTTGCTTCCTGTGTTTCTGATACCTAAAATCACCATTTAAAGTATGGTACTTCTTAGAAACCTACTGTACGCTAGAGGCTGTTGTGATTGAAGAAGTGTTCAGAGTGACACTATTTCTCATAGTTAGATCAGGAGCACTCTACTGATTTTTCTACTAGTTTTCACTCATTTTGGCTGACCATATTAGATGCAGGGATTTTTCAGAAACTTGAATTTTCTAGTATTCACAGCTGGTAGCAAATGCACTAAAAATAAAACCCTGGTACTTTTTTTTCTTCATAAGTAGGCTATCCTCATCTCCAACAGGGGGGTTTTACTGTCATCTCCCCAAACCCTCCCAAAGTCTTCCCTGAAGAATGGAAAAAGGAGCAAATTTTCCATTAAGTGTCTTCAGAATCTCTTTCATTTGCTTCACCATCATCTAAGTTTTTAAATATAATCTGGGGCACCTGTAACTCTGAATCTCTTAACATGGTCAGCCAAAGAGGCATACACTTGGTACATGGATGGCCATTTAGCTGTGGGAAATCCTACTTATGTAACAATTTAGTCTTTCATTTTTGTTCTTTTGGACACAAATGTGACTACTTATACAGCAATACAGTCTTCAGTCCTGCTGTGAATTTCAATATTTTCTGAAAAACTTGTTCATTTAAATTGCAAGTAGGAAAAGTATTTGCAAAGAGAGCTCACAAAATCAAGACACATTGTTTCCTATTTGCTCAAACAATCAGCACAAAGTATGTATAATAAAGTCATATTATACAGATGTTCGTGTGTGTGAAGAGTGATGTTTCACTGATTTTAAAATATCATTAGAAATTATGGCTGAGATGTGAAAGAGATTTTTTTTCCTTAAGGCTGTCAGTTCAGGTAATTTGTTTATTTTTTCCATAGCAAGTTCTTCGTGGTTTTGTCAGTCTTATAGCAGCATATAGTCCACAGTGTGTTTAATACATTTAACATTCACTAAATCTCACAGTTAGCAGAAATATTACTATCTTTTTTGCATAATGGAATTAATACTATTTCATTTCAAAGTGCTTTAAGAGGTTTTCCTACAATAGTTGGAACATATGTTGAAAGTACATTCCACTGCAGCTAATGCAAATATTTATGAAGTAAAGCATCTTTCTGTTTTGAGTTAGGTATCTCAGTATGATCCACATTCTAGTAAAATCTGTATTGATGTGTGTGCTGAAATGCATGAGTCACAACAGAATATGCAACTTTCAAATGTTTTCACTTAATGGCCTTCTCATTCACCTCTTTGAGTTTGCATATTGTTTTAACTAAAGTGATTCCTGGGGTTTCTTGGTCTGTGAATGTAGGGCAATCTCTACATAAGAAAAATAACTTTGTTATGACAAGCCATCATTTTAGTATCACATTTTGCATTTTCTTTTGCCCTTTGTATTTATTTGACATGAAACCACAGTTTCTGTATTATTATTCCATGAATATAAAAATATTTTTGATCCAGTGTCATTTGAAATCTTACAAATACAAAGAAAATTGGCATGTCTGTTAGTAGCATAACTGGGGGGTGGGGATTACCAAGGCAGCAAAGCTCAGCACCACCTTTGGGGGTGGAGGCGCAGCATAAAAATGTACACCGCTGCTGTAGTGGTTGACCATGCCACTGCCATTGGCATAGTGGCAACCAGACCTGCCTTGTGCATTGTGGCTGCCCCGCACATGGAGCTGCCCTGCTATGCCTGTGAACAGTATCATGCAAGAGTAAAACTGATTGAATGATAGAGGACAGAAAAGAAGCAATTATAAATGGCAGTGAATCAAATTAGGAGTTTCTGTCTGTACAGAACCAGGACATGATCCTACCAGGATGTGATTAAAGTTAATTTTGTAAATATACTAAATTGGAAAATGCTGTTAATACTAGGAAAAGCCACAATATAAAGGTTGACTGAAAAACATTGGAAGGCGGGAACAAAACCGTATTAGTACCACCAGTAATCAGGTCATTGGGTCTCTCTGTATCTCTCTCTTTTTTTCCATTTTTTAAAAATTATTTTATACAAAGTGGAAAAGCAGATATTGAGAGTACTTGCTTCAGAAAGCCAAACAATTCCAATAAGGGAAATGGAGATTCAGGTTCCTCCTTTGAATTACAGGATCATAAAAAAATAGTATTGGAAAGGATCTCTGGAGGTTGCGTAGTGCAATCCCCTGCTCAAAGCAGGACCATCCCCAACTATATCATCCCAGCCAAGGCTTTGTCTATAGAATCATAGAAAATTAGTGTTGGAAATAAGGGGATTCATATCTTTAGCCTTGAAGCTCATTACTACTGCACAGTAGCATTGTGAGGCATGAACTGTGATGTGATGCTACTGCACAGTAGTAACAAGCTACTGTTTGTTCAGTCAGTGTCACCAGGAAGTCGTGTGGAGACACTACTGTGCAGTAACACTAGTTACCTTGCAGTCATTTAGTACTTGGGTATGCAAGTACTAAATGACTGTGCAGTAACAACTCCACAGTCATGCCTAAGCAGGTTTTATAAACTTTGTCTTGTTTCCTGTGCTTTTGGGCATAGTTTATGGACTTACAAACTGAAATGGTTGTATTTGTTTATATTTAAAATACTGTATTCAGAAATACCTAAGAACTAGACATTTTGCACTTTAATTCTTTTTGCAACCTAGATGACTTGAGATAAAGAGAAACACAGTGGAAGAAAACACATTGGAATCCCAGATGACTCTGTAGCTGCTGCTACTTTATTTTGGGAAGCTGCTTTCCTATGTGCTATGTGATGGTCCATTAAAGCACAATGATTCATCAGTTGCATGAAAATTAGCAAATCTAGTGACATAAAAAACCAAGTCAATATCAATATCTGTTCCCCAAAACATGAACAAATATATACATTTCTAAAATTATTTTGAGAATTTATCATGGAAATTCTTCAAGAAAGACTTTGCTGAATTCTACTGATAAAATTTTAGCCTCACTGTAATCCAAAGGACTATTTTCTATTGTTTACAATGTCAGAATAACCTATCAGGAATACATTTAACAGAAAAGAATATATTTGCTTACTTGATCTTTGATTTTTGATGAAGAATAGTTTTAATCTCTCTTTAAATGTATTTTCATTCATGTAGAATTCGATTTGTACCCTGCAATACAAAAAAGAGTAGTACCATTAAACAGTCAATTTATTACATTATTATATATGCACATTTGCAAGAGACTTTGCAAATGAACATTCTTGCCATATGTTTATATCATAAAACCAGAGGAACATATTAAGAGTTTTAGACAATATGGATATTAGGCCTGTGCAAGTAGGCAGCTATTCAATCTGGCTTTGGATCCAGCCACACTGGATGCCAGGGATCCAATCCAGAGCTCCAGATTGGTTTCCCGCTTCGATCTATGGCCTCAGAGATCCAGCCATAGGGTATAATGGGGAATCAATGAAATATCTACAACTTTGTTGTTTTTTCTCTGATGTAGATGAAACATGCTGTGATGGTAGCCTCTGCTGAGAGCATTAAGCCTGCCAAGTTTCAAAAGGATCCGTGCAGGTGTTTGGGGGAGAACTGCACCCCAAATCTTTGAAAGCAAAACTCATGTCACGTGTGTGTTACACTACGGGGGGGTGAAAACTGCAGGGGTGGTAGCTCCTGCTGAGGCCACAAAGCCTGCCAAGTTTCAATGTGAGAGATGCAGGGGTTCACCACCACTGCAGTTTTCACCCCCCTTTGGTGTAACACACACGTGTGACATGAGTTTTGCTTTCAAGCATTTGGGGTGCAGTTTCCCCCAAACCCCTGCACTGATCTTCTTGAAACTTGGCAGACTTCATTCTCTCAGCACAGGCTACCATTTCTGCAAGTTTCATCCAAATCAGATAAAAAACAACAAAGGTATAGATATTTAATTGATTCCCCATTATACCCTATGGCTGGATCTCCGAAGCCACTCCAAAGCTTTTCCGAAGCAGTTTGAAAGCTCCAAACTGCTTCGGAAAGCCTAAAGAAGCCAGTACTTCAATCCAGACATGCTGCTTCAGACACCAAAGTGTCCAAAGCTTCTCCAGATCTGAAGCATGGTCCAAAGCTTCGCACAGCCCTAATGGATGTTTAAGCACACAAAACAGGTTATTACTCCTTTTTTATATATAATTCTCAAATATATGTCCACTGTGGTCATATATACAAGATATATGCAATCTTTTTATTATAAAATGTACTCAGACCTGAACACAATATACCACATTCCTCCCAGAATTTGATAGGAAGGTACTTCTTTCTTCTTTGGATATGCTGCAGCAAAGAACAGAACTGTAAAATGTCATTGCCCATCTCCTTCCTCCACTTCCCTCTCCTATCTATAATTTATGTCAACATCATAACCACCGTGCCATCCATTATGACCCTTGACATTTACTCAAGTACTGCCATGTAACACATTTCTCCCACTCATTGAATAACTTTACTTCTGATTACTTTTTTTCTTGGATGTATTGTCTTTATTTGTCTAAATGGATTCTGCCTTTATGACGTCTCCATTCTTACTTGAAAAGCGTTTTTGAAATAATATCTATCGCTGTCATTTTTCTCGTGTTTTCCCACTTTCATTCCCTGCCACCTTATTACTATGGTGTTTTGTTCTGTATACCTTTGTATGGAATCTAGAGGTGTCCATTTAGCAAGATTAGCAGGTTTAAAGAATAGGATACACCATCACTCTTCAACAGCAAGCCAAGGGCAGGGAAAAGAGGGGTGTCTAAAGGGGGTCTGTGCTGGGACTGTCCAGCACACAGAGGGCATTGCTCATTCCTGCCTACCCTCCCTTTCATCAGCCTTGATCTTCCCTTTTCCAAACTTAAAACAGAGCCTGCCAGGAGGGCTTCAGAGCACATAAGTTGCTACACTTTGATACATCTTTATCTGATACCTCATGTAATGAGGGGTCAGATTTTCACCGGATTAGCCATTTTTGAAGCAATCTGCAGTTGTGCACTTCTGTCTGATCATAGCTATAAACTGCTTCCTGTGGCCATATTGGGCAAAAATTGCCACTTCTGTCTGCGCCCACAGTTTTTTTCTGCTAAGATTAGGCAGGGGTCACTGATGCCTTTACAGCACAGCCACTGGGTAGTGGGAGAGGTGGAGCTGATCCCTGTTTCCACACCTATATTTTATTCAGTGACTATTACATTAATCAAAACCCAGGTCTTCCTCCTCTCCCTAACACCCCCCTTCAAAGTGAGTGCCTCCAGCAGGCAACAGAGTCAAGCTATCTCTTGTGATCTCTCTCTGCCCCCAATGAATACTGAATTCTTTTTTTGTGCAGTGATAAATCTTCAAGTATCCTCCCCATTCTAGAACAGCTGCTAGCCTAATATTTAAGGCAGTTTCCTGAGGGATCTGAGAATGCCTTGCCAAAGCAAAGGAGGGAATTGAACCTGGGTATACCAAATCATGGGTATGTCCTCTAAGCATTAGAGGCTTAGGCCTGGGCGACTGGTGCCACTGTAGTCAGGGGGGGCATGTCTGCCCCCCAGTGACTAGGGGGCATCCCCCAGGGCTGATTGCACTGATGGGGGGGTCCCCCCATGGCCATTCTCACTGAGGGGGGGGAGGGGGGCCCTGCAGCCAATCACACCAACCAGGAAGCAGCCGCAGCACCCCCTGAAGTGGCCATGGTGCTCGCAGAAGTGGCCACTCTGGTGCTCCCACTCCCCAGCCGGTGCTCGCAGGGGGTTACTGGTTCTCCCGCCTACCCCCCCTGCCCATCGCCTAAGCTCTCAGGGGTTGCACGTGCACCCCTGTGCCCACCCCTCCACGTATCACCACTGGGCTTAAGAAGTTATATAAGCGGAATCATGAACTGGTGGCTGAAACAACCTTTTTTGTGTGTGGAATGATCATGTAGGTGTGTGTTAGCCATGGTTTGAGGAAGCCTACAGGTTTGTACTTCTTAGGGGATTTAGGCAAAAGATCCCAGTTGAGCTCAAGTGGGAGATGTTGTGTTGAGCTCCTCAACAGTGGAGCAGTTTTAAATATGCAGAGAGCCACTCCTCTAGTACAGGGGAAATTTAAAAGTGAGAGAGTGAGGGGCTGATAGGAATCCAGGTGTGTTCAGGATTAGATGGAAGCTGAGCAGAGGTTACAAGGTTCATGGTTTTAAATGTAAACAACTAAATTCTGCTCAAGTGCTTTTTTGTACCCATCCAAACTGCTTGTTCTTTTCATCATTACTGTTATATTTTTAATAGGACCTATTTTTCATTATTTAGTTGGCTGTCAAACTAATGGTATAAACCCAATCTTCAAGGAGATTTTCAGCAAGGTAAATAAAGCACCACAATATATTAGACTGAGGGACTTCCATTTGAAAGGGAACACTGTGTTACTGAGCCTCTGACATGATTTAAAATAATCTCACATATTTTAGATAAGAAAATTATAGTAGTCGCTTACCATGAAAGAATAGCATGCTACCTGTAAGTGGTGATTTAATGACAATGAGGAACGAGAATGTGGGGGCTAATCACTTTCCTATCAACTGCCATTATGATTTGTACTGATAGCCTACTAACAGCTGTCTGCTTCTACTTTCCTTTCCTTAGCAACCAGCATTCACAAGCTAATTGGGATTCCACAAGGTGATGGTTTCCATGGTAAAATGGATTACAAATGCAGCTAACAGCACATTCAACCCCTCCTTCCTCCCATTTTTCTTTCTAAAGTGAAACCTGAAAAGTATATGTTAATTCTGCATTTGCAGGAGCTACACTAAAAATACTTATTATATTAAATAGCCAGTGTTCACTTTTTGACTTCAACCTATAATGCAAAGGACAGAAGCACAGACCTCTGGAGAGAAACTTTGGTTTGTTTACCTTACATTGCATGATTTGTAGAAAAGCAAATTGGCACCAGTTAGGGCAGAAACACCTGGATGTAATTTTAGCCTTAGCCCTCCATTTCTTTGCTTTTCAGGATTTAAGGAGAATACTCAATCTATTGTAACCTTCCTGTTATTCTTTTTTATGATAACCTTTTACAATATTTAAAAGGAACTGGTATATCACCTTAACTTCCTGAACAGCTACCTGGAGAATTAATATATGGAGTTCAGATTACAAGTAAAATGTACCCTTCCAGTTACTGTCTTGAACCAGTTAATAATAGGAGAGACTCAAACTGGTTTAGCCCAAAGAAACCCCTGGTTTTCTGAGATGTACCCTAGCCTTTCCTGCATAATTTATAGTTGACATAGATTAGACTGTAAAAAACTCACTTAAAAAGATATTTGTTTCAGAAGGAGTACATAAAAAGATGAGATTGATGCCACTCATAAAGCCCATGCGGCATTTTTTTTAAAACAGTTTCAGAAGTAAGCCCCTTCTGAATCATTAACAGCCCTATATTGCCTCTGGCTCCTGCTAGAAACCTGTTCTAGTAATCATTAGACTGAGGCTGATTTAGCCCTAGAGGTAGGCTTGACTGCAAAACTCTTGGCTGCTTGCAATTTTAGAATGAGATCCAGATCACTTAGTTATTATTGTTCCTTTGTCATACTACATAATGGAGCTTATTGTAAATGTTAATGGATCGGATCATTAAATATATGACTGGTTAGGGATGTTTTTGATAAATGAGTAAAATTCATTCCATGTATTTCCATAAATTGTTGTAATTATATAGCAATAGGGTGTTTCCCTGGAATCTAGCTATTCCTAATAGGAACAGCCTGGAATTGTTGATAGTGTGGCATGTGAAAACCAGCAGCAATGGATAATATTCACAACTTATAGACTTACTTAATCTATGAAGTATAGCGTTTCTGTTCTGTTTTCCCAAATAAATAATACTGGCATACTTTTAGTCTTTCATATTTTTCTCCTTCTTGGAAAAAAGGTGAGCAGCAAATTATAGCTCTGTGTGCTCTCTTCATCAGAAAGCAATCTGAACAATTGTTATAGTGCTGTTTCTTTAGGTCAGACAAAGAAGGAAAATAGCATTTAATAAATTAGGAAATTTTACCAATCATGGACTCAATGAGCTCTTAATCTTTACCGATGCTTTTCATGTCTAAATTCTCAAATACTATGTAAAATTATTGTTTGACAAGTTGAAGAATGATTCTTGTTTACTTTTAT